GGCCATGCTGGCTCGGACATGCAGGAGATGAAGTTCAAAACATCTGCAGGGTACCTGGTTGCCTGTCTCTATGCCAGAGTACACCCCCAGTGGTACTGTCAGGGAAAACAGTAACTCAGACTCTGTAAGCCAGAGGTTAGTTTACTCACTATGTTTCAGCAACCAGGACAGCCAAAAGCCAGTTAAATTTCCCTACAGAAGATAAACTTAATAGATTTCATTCAGTCTCAAGTATGATTTAACTTCAGTAGCCAGCAAATATTTAAAGGTCAAATATAGTTCTTAAAGCCAAGATTGCTTAACTTCAAAGAGAAGTTGAGCAAACTGCTAACCTATCAGGAACCAAAGCCTAATTTGCAAAGATCTGTCTGACATTGTTTTGAATGCAGATTCACCAGTTGGAGGGATAATCAATTGCCTTTTTGCAAACAGCATGCTGTTGTCGCTAGCATAAGGTTCACAGCACTGAGGAATCTATACAGCTGAATCCAAAAAGCAGTTGCTTTTCACAGCAATCAGCTGCATTTCCATCTTGCAAACTCAAACTTCAGATACAGTTTTCTAAGGGGGATAGATCCTTGACAAACAGAAAAGGCAATGAAATTCAAATTTAATGGCAGATCTTAAAATTAAAATGCAATTAGATGTACCATCAAAGATGAATACTTGATTTGGCAGAAAAATATGTTCGAAGTTACAAGGAGCCAAGTGATTAATTTCTTTCCCAGAGAGATAGCCAGGAGGCCTCAACAGTATGCCAAACCATTTAAGGAAATCAACCTTCTGAATATTGGGGGAGGGGGAGATTCATTAAATAATTAAAATGCACATACACAAATAATGGCAGAGGCTGGGATAGTTGCTTTTATTAATTAACCTCAGCAGAAAATGGGGAGGCAAGGCAAATATGAGAAAAGCAAGAACTATGGAACATCGTTTCTGGAGAGCATTGATGAAAGTGTTATGGGAAGGAGAAGAGAAGGTGCAGAAGAAGAGCTAGAAGAAGCTAACAGGTGATTGAGAAGGAGACAGAAAGGGAGAAACTGGCTGCCTTGGGATGCTAGGGGCAGCTTAGCGAGCAGTTAACTCAGGCACTTCTGTTTACACATGGCTTTCTGGAGAATATCCCAGAATGCATGAAGCAGTTTGGGAGATCCTATTTCGTACTTCAGGTTTTCATGGTACATCAGGAGGGAGCCATGTGTCAACAAATGACGAACAAAAGGTAAATGGGTTAAGGGAGGGTCCAAAAGTAGGCTTAAGCAGGCTATTGTGGGGGCTACTGAGGTTAGGGAACATGGCACTTAAGCATCACTGAGGGTTTCAAAGACTGTTGAGGACTAGAAACAGGTTTTGACAGGTAAGTGACAGGACCAGGTAAAAGTCCCAATATGCCAGCAAGGGAAAGAAAGAATGGGTATCAAAAGAATGCATAAGCCACAGAACTGTACATGGTTATTGATTGTTAAAAAGAGTAAGATGTCAACCCAGTGTTAGATTGTAGAGAAAATAATAAAATTTGAGAGCCAGTGTGGTGTAGTGGCTAAGAGCATGGGACTGGGACTCAGACGATCTGGGTTCTAGTCCCTGCTCAGCCATGGAGCCAACTGGGTGACTTTGGGCCAGTCACAGACTCTCAGCCCAGCCTACCTCACAGGGTTGTTGTTGTGGGGATAAGATGGAGGAGGAGAATGATGCAAGCTGCCTTGAGCCCTTTGTAGGAAAAAGGCAGGATATAAATTGAAAAATAAATAAATAAATAAATAAAAATTTGGAGGAAAAAAGAATGCATAAACTATCTCATTGAGATAAGAAAACAACTTAGTTGGAATAGGGTGTCAAATAAGGGAGAGCAAAGCAAAAGAAAGGAGGGAAGATCCCAGTGAAGCCCAGAAGATGCAGACATGCACAATGTCCCAGGAACGCCAAGACACCAGTGTTGGATCGGGGCTATAGCTTAAGCAAGCAACAGCTATAAAAATCACATGCAAAAGGAAGTTGAGCTCAAGAGTTTGGGAAAGAAGCAGATAGATGGAAGCTATGGAAGGAACAGAGTTATCATGTGATAGGGAAAGGGATTTTTTTCTCAAGAGGTGAAAATATTCTTAAAAGACTATTCAACAAGGACTAATCTCATTACTTTAGGGAAGAGACAAAACATGTGTACTTGGGGTGAAGGTATATGATGTTTGTGAGCATGATCTTGGTCCCAAATTAGATTCCAACCCAATTTTCTGCATTTATAGTGAAACTCAGAAGATTGAATTGCATCTCTCTCTCACCATGCAGCCCCATAAAAATGTTCCAGCCCTGGCAGACAAAGCTGTAAAAGCACACAGCATTTGTGGCTATCTGGCACCTGTGGCAGAAAATGAATGGGGAGGGAGGTAGAGCTTAACCTGAGCTAGGACTTCGGCTGTAGGCCGAATAAAGTGAGAAAGGCCCTTTGGCTTCGGTACGGGGAAAGCACCTTGCTCTAGCCACCATGTAAACCACCGTCAGCCCACACACTTCTGGGATTGCGGGCAGGGGGGCAGAGGAGCGGCTCCACGGCAGAACCTGCGACTCCGAGGCAGGCTTAAGCTTGGGAAGCTCTATTTCCTCGAGGAGACAAGGAATGTATGAGAAACAGCCATGGGGGAGGGGGGAGCACGAGAGAGAGAGGGAGAGGGAGGATGGTTGCATGAGAGAAACAGCAGAGCTGAGATGATAAGTCGCTTAGGGAAAGCATGCCTACCACAGGCAAAGTGCAACGCTTGTAAGGGAATGCAGGGAAAGGCGGCAGGCGAGCAGGGTGGAAGAGAACGCCTCCGGGAAGGGAGGAAAGAGGAGCCCGCGTATCCGCGGGCGAGCGGGAGGGGGTGGAAAGGGCGGGAGGGATTCAGTGGCAGAGATGGAAGAGGAGATGAGACGCCCCCGGAGGAGCCCGCTGGGAGCCGGGAGAGTTTGAGAAGGTAAACAACAGCCACGCCCCCTACAGTCCTTATTCCTACCGCGCAGCTCAATCGCAGCCGTTGCCTGTAGATTTCCATTCCCAAATCTCTCCATACCCCCCGACGGCGTGACTCTCGCCCTTCCTCCCCCACCCCCCACCTAGCCAGCCTCGCTGTGGTACAGTGCGGCTACAAAAGCCATCAGCGCCCTGAAAAGCCCGTGCCGCTTAAAAGCCCAGCGGGGTCTCCCACCCTCGCGAAGGACGGCGCTTCTTTCTCCGCTGCTTCTGCCTCCTGGGCGCATTGTTTATGTCTTGTTGCAGGAGCTGGCAGGGACCCCACAACCCCAGCACGTGAGAGGGGCTGATCATGTGGGTGCACCAGCTTCAAGGCATGCAAAGGCTCCAAAACGTGCTGCGTATCAACAAAAATGAAACTCGTGTCCCCTAATTGCCGCGCGATCCCCTATTGCATAGACTTCGTACATGGAATATTACGCCCTCCCCACCCACACTTTCGTCCTAACTCTGTTGGGTCCGTATCATTTTCGAACGCGCCAACCCCCTTCTCACTCCCTATCATCTTTTTCCCTCCCCCTCTCAACAAATTGTGTGTACTCCTTTCTCCCACCCACCCCTTTTCTTTAAGACCTTTTGGGGTTAGCTCTGCCGCAGTCATTAATTCGCGGAATCGTTTCCCGAGGCTCCCGATCCTTTAAAAAGTTGTTGTTTACATTCCTGCCGCCTCCCTTTTAAAACATGACTGACCAACATGCGCAATCCATATCTAAAAACGCTGCACACTTCTCTCCCCCCCCCCCCCCAGCCCTTCCTCCTTTGCAGGCAGCACAGGCAGGGAGCAGTAAAACAAATGCGAGGAGGAGGGGAGAGAAATCAAGAGAAGCTGCACAAAAAATGGAGCAATTCTCCACCCTTTTACCTTGGGCTGGGAAAGAGCGTCCTCCAAGAGTTGAGAATGTCCCTCGGGTTACAAGAGAGGTGTGGGGAGAGATGCTCCAGAAATGTAACCGCTCCTGGAATCTCCCTTTACAAAGATTAATCCGGTACCATTGCGGAGGGGGAGAACCATCCCCCCCTCCAAGGATCCGAAGATGATACCCTCCTTTTAGGAGTAGATACAAAGTAACTCCATGGATGCAAAAGAAAAACCCGATTAAAAAAAAAGCTTCCAGCTGAGATGGCCGCTCTGTGCAAAATCCAGCGAGCCCCTGCGTGCGTGTTTCTGTTTCTTTTTAAAATCCAAGACTTCTTTTTCCGATCTCTTCGCAATTGCCCGAAAATCTGCGACTGGTCTCACCCCCCCTTCCCTTTTTCCTCTGCTGGCGAAGAAGGGACTTCTTCAAAGGAGTGTATCAATTAGGATGATGCTGGGGAGCATTCACCCCCCGCCCTTCTTCCCCCACTCCCTCTTGCTTCAATTTCTTCTTTTCTTGCTTGTTGTTTCTTCCTGACGAGCAGCAGGTCCAGGTGCAGCTGCAGACGTGGGTCCCATCCCTGATTGTGTTCGGCATGTGTTGCCTCCCACCCCCCGCCCACCCCTCCCTCCGTTCACCTCCCTCCGATGCGCTGAGTCCCCATCGCTTTTCTCTCGTGCCCTGGGCAGCTGGAAAGGGGTCGGGTTGCACACACGGGTTCGCTCTCCTTTTCTCTTTCTCGTTCTCTACAAGCCTGATCAGGTCACTTTCGCAATGATCTTCAGCCTGGCGCGCACACAACGGTGGCGGCAGTGCACACACACAAGCAGACACACACAGAGAGATCACAGAGCTGCAACACTTTCTTTGCTTCCTCCCCTTCTCCTATACACACTCCAATCCCCCCCCTTCACCTCCTTGGAGCTATGCACAGGCGTACACTAGCCTGCTGCTGCAACCTTACAAAAAAATAAGCTTATACTTAACAAAATCTTTTGGCGCCATATTAATGACGTACTTCAAATTTGCCATTTCTTCCTGCGTCAAAAAGACGTTTCTTGCAAATAACAGATGAGGTGCAAGGAGGAGGGGGAGGAGGGAGAATCCGAAATAAAATAAATAAATAAGCCTACCCCTTCAGAGGGAAGCCGAGACCCTGGCGGTGAAAATCGCGCGTGGGGAAGATTGGGGGGGGGCTGTTTGTGGTGGTTGCATTAACCAGAAGCGCACGAGGTGAAGGCGGGGAGGGAGAGGGCGAAGTGGCGGGGCAAATCAAGATCAGAGCAAAATTGCCGTCCTGTGGGTCACAAAGTTATGGGGCTACCTCTGCGGCGAGAAGAGTGGCCTTTGAAATGCCACCACTTTGGGGGAAGGAAAGAGGAAAAAACGTTTCTAATTTAAATCGTTCTCCAGATCATTCCTAGCCGGGAGCAAGCTGGCGGTCAGCACTTGCTCCTTTTGAGCAGCCGTGCCAAGAGGGAGGAGAGACGGAGGTTAGCAAGGGTTGGACAAGACATTTTTCTCTTTTTTTCCTTTCACATTTTGTCCCATTAAGCCGGTTTATTTCGACCCGGGCAGACAGGGCTCTCTCCCCCCACACACATGCACACATATGCCCGCCCCTCCTCCCCAGAGAGCAACGGCTTCTCAAAGCAAAGAGAAAAAGAACTTTGCACAGTTTACACAGGAAGAAGAGGAGCCAGGTCCGCCCTCCTGTAGTTCTCGACTTGACCTTGTGATGCACAAACAATACACTTCAATCCGTTGCTGGAAGGGTGCTCGTTGCTGTTGCGCTCGCCTGTCTGTTTTCTGTGGTGGCAGCAGCCGAGATCTGCTCCAACATCGAGTTGGCCACACCCACCGCTGCCTGCTTGAGGCAGGCACCTACTTCTGGTAGCAGAACAGTTATTTCACATAGGCAGGAGGGAGGGGGAGGGCAGAAGGTCGCCTACCTGAGCCTGGTTCGACCATCGAAAGCCCGATCGCTCTGCCCCACATGCACTTCAAGCCCACCGAACAGTAACCTGGCCACTGTTTCGCCTTCTGCAGTCGCGCTGTTCCCGCCGCAGGCCCGGCACAATTAATTCGGAATGCTCTGCGTCTCCGTAAGAACTTTACCAGGCGCTGTTGCTCAGAGCCGAAGTTAAGGGTTCAGTAGACTCCTTGCAGCCGGAGCCCTTCCTAGCTAGGGATAGGGATCCGAGGGCCAAGCCCGGCTCTAACCAGCCCTTCCTAAAAGGCCATGCTCTGGGCCCCACCTCCCCCCGCAACCCTTGTTCTTTGGCAGTTTTCTGCGTTTTGTGCATTTCCCCCACTTCTAAGAGATTGAAATGCCCATCCTTAGGCTTAGTTACTGAGTGTAAGTGCATTAAGCTAAAATATGCAAGCAGTCTTTTGTACTTCTGAACCCACCACTTTTACTGTTTGCCTGCCCCATCACTGGAATCTACCCTTCTCCAAGAGCATCTCTGAAACTGATTTTGCCCTTGGGCTGAAAGAGTTTCCCACAGCTTGCTAAAAGCCATAAACTAGCTAGGAGCCTGCTCTCTTATCTCCCAGCCCTTTTCCATATTTGTAAGATGGGAATATTACTGCAAGCATCAAGCAGATAAAGATTTTACAGCACAGTCAAGTATCCCCTGAGTGCTGCAGGGGAAAGATGCTGTTCCATCAAGAGGAAGCCATCCCACCTGCTCCTCACACCAAGGACCTTATAAGGAAGGCTGGAGCTGCAGTTGGGGAGGCACTGCTGCAGGGGAGATGCCTGAATTTTTTGTGGTTGCTCAGACCTTGCTTGAAATACAGTACTATTTTTAAACTCATATTGAAATGTTAGGCTGTACTATTATTTTGTATTTTTGTATTTCACTGTATTGCACAGATTGTTGTTAACTGCACAAAAAGCCATTGGGTGATAGAGAGTTTCAATAAATAAATGTAATATGCATTTGCCAACTTCGTTCGGAAGTTGGATTTTTTCTCCCAGGCAGCTGCAATTGTGGTGGCACAAGGCAATACCTCACATTAAGGAGACACTTCTCAACTGACGGAGGTATTTCTCTCACATATTAGAACTGTGCCTTCAAACTATTTTGGGACTCCTAAAGAGGACTGCTGCATGAATTGGCAATGGGGGGGGGGGTGATGATCATTTTAAGGCAGGGGGAACACAAACCATCCCACAGCAATTGGGCTAAGAAAAGCAATCATTTGGACTAATTTTTTACCCACAGGGAACAAGTCACTGAGGCCCCCCCATGGAATAATTTAAATTGCGTACAGTGTTCAAACACTTTACAGTGTGATCCTATGCATGTTCAGACAGAAAAATGGCCTACTTGGTAGATGGGGATGCTGGGAGTTGTAGGATTTTTTCTGCCTTAACATGCATAGGATTGTACCCTTGGTAACATTTTGGGAAAGCTTTCAATTATTGTACATTTCTTGGCCAGGGTATCCTGTTTATGATTTTTTTTTTAAATGACCTATTTAAGATGCACTGATTTTCCTTAACTGGTGCCCTCCAGATGCTTTGCACTATACCTTCTGCCATTCCTGACCAGTGCCCATGCTGAAGCTGATGAGGATTGAAGTCCAAAACACCTAGATTCTAGGTCTAGGTCCTAGAAGGTGTTGAGTTGGGGAAGGATGTATTGAGCAGCTGCTAATTTAGAGATTCCTATAATATGTGATACTTAGATAAATTACCAATGTACTGTACAACCAATAAAGTTACTGGGTGGTATTATACACATATTTATAGATAGTTTGGTGGACTGATAGGTCAGTTGTTTAACTCACTTCCAGCTGTTTAACTCAGCTGGGATGCAGCCCTGGCTTCAGGTGCATGCAACTGGGCTGGACGAATTGGACTTCCCTTCTTTCCCCCCAAATCAGCTCCTGCTGAATAGGGTTAGTTATATTATGCGGTAAAGGGAGGATCCCTAAAACTTGGGCAGAAGCCCCTTCCATGACCAGAGCCATTCCCCTCTAAAGAAGGCAGAACCTGAATCCAACAGCATGTATTTTATGTGTCAGTTGGGTTCTGCAAGCTCTGACCATAACTTGGATTGCACTGGTGGTGACTTATGGAACAACCTTTGAAAGGGTAATGACTTGTTTGTTTGTTTTCTATTATACCCCCGCAAAACAGCTGGAGCTCTTTGGGCAGTTCACAATAGCACATTAAAAATAAAATAAAGATACACCATGATAAAAACCTATTAAAACATCATTAAAAGTTTGCAATACAAAATTTGAAACCAAGTTTAAAACAGATTAAAATAACTTGAAAAATAAAACTTAACAACTAGCTGGCCCCAGTAGACTACTTGAATGCCCTTCAGTAGAGGACAGTCTTTACCTGGCACCAAAAAGAGAGTAAGTTGACACCAGAGGGCTTCAGTGGGGAGTTCATTCCATAACTCTGTACATGGTAGGTGTGTCGTGAGAAGAGCTGGCTAGAGCCAGGGGTCGGAATAGATGGCCCGGGCGGCCCCTTCTGACTTGCTCTGTTTCTGTTTCTATAACTGGGGGGTGGGGGGTCCCACTGAAAAGGTCTTTCTCCTTGTTGCCACCATCCAAGCCCCCTTAGAGGTGGCCTTCAGAGGTAGGTCTCAAAACTTGATCATAGTGACAGGCCAGAATTGCTCTGTCAATTGCACAGTGTTATGTGATCAGGCTGCCTGATCCCTGTTATAAGTCTGGTTGCTTCATTTTGCACAAGCTGCAGTTTCCAAGCAGTCTTCAAGGGCAGTCTCATGTAGAGTACATTGCAGTAGTCTAGTTTAGAGACTAGATCACTGATAGAAGCTGTGTCCATCCAGATAAGGTCATGGCTGAGCCACCAGCCAAAGCTGGTAGAAGGCACTCTGAGCCACTGAAGCAACCTGGGCCTCAAGTGACCTAGACAGCTCAAGGAGCACCCCCAAGTTACAAACCTTCTCCTTCAAGGAGAGTGCAACCCCATCTAGAACAGATTTAATTCCCTCTACCCAGGCAGTAGAACCCCACACTAAGAGCATCTCCATCTTGTCTGGATGAGCTTCAGTTCGTTAGCCCTCGTCCAGTCTGTTGTTGTGGCCAGGTACCAACTGATTCAGCACTTCCACAGCCACACCTGCTAAAGATGAAAGGGACAGAGCTGTATGCCATCGCCATGTTGGCAACAATGCACTACATAGCAGTTTCAGGTAGACTTTAAATAACATGGGGGACAAGACTGACCCCTGAGGAATCCCATGCTGAAGGATCCAAGGGGCAAAGCAATATCCTTCAAGCACACCTCCTGGAACCTACCCTCCAAGTAGGAGCAGAACCATTGCAATGCAGTGTCTCGCACACTCAGCTAGGCACTGTCCTAGAAGGATACCATAGTCAGTGGCAATGAAAGGTGCTGAGAGGCCCAGAAGAACTGGCAGGATCACCCTCCCCTGTCTCTCTTCCTGCATAGGACATCATACAGGGCAACCAAGCCTGCTTCCGTGGTGAGACCAGGCCTGAACCCCGACTGAAATGGATCCAGATAATCATTCTCATCCCAGAGTGCCTGGAACTGGTGGGCCACGACCTGCTCAAGAACCTTGCCTACAAATGGGATGTTGGTCTCCATCCTAGAACCATTGGATTCTTCTGGGTCCAGGGAGGTTTTCTTCTGGAGTAGTTTCACCACCACTTGTTCCAGGGGGACTGGGACCACTACTTCTTGTACACAAGAATCACCTCCCTGACTTCTCCTTATCCTGGCTAGGTCAGGGCAGGGGAAGTGTTGGAGCAACAGCAGTGCAGCAGCAAGACCATATTCTACATTAGTTCTGTCTTCCCTGCTTGCCTGAATGCTCAGCTGAGGCGGTTCTCACTTAAGGCAAATATTTTATTGATCACATAATTCCTGTAATCAACATATGACTTGCATAAGCCAATTTTAATGTCTAGAGACCCCTTCTTTCCCAATTCCATCTTGGAACTCTGGACACGCACACCATGTGTCTTCACCATCAAGAGTCCCCGACCTTGCCACCATCCCCCTTCCAACCCACTTTCTACAATTTCTCGCTGGATGAAAGTTTGGGAGTCGGGGGCAGCATGTTTTGCTCATCTGGTGTTGAGTGAGGAATTAGAGCTGATACTCTTATAATGTGGCCATTAGTGTGTTTCTCTGCTTGTCCTCATCAGTTTCCTAGTCCTCAAGATCATTCAATAATGTGTGTGCAGTGTAATAGTGGTGCTGCAAGCTTTATTGGGGATTCCAAAAGGATATTCCTATTCTGAAAAGACAGGATGTTGTGCACTTCACTGTTCTGCAAGCAAGAAAAAGAATCTCTGGAGATAAAGCTGGCTCTATTTTTCCTTCATCATCTTTCACATATTCCTCTTTGCATTTGCTTTTGTATAGGAGAGAGAGAGAGAGAGTGTGTGTGTGTGTGTGTGTGTGTGTGTGTGTGTGTGTG